AAACCAACAAAAAACCCACCCCAACCTTCCACCGGGCTCTAACAAAACCCCGATGGAACAAACACCGTGTCTGGGAGAATAAATTAATCCCTCTTTAACCAGCCTGACTCAGGGCCCGGTGACGGGGGAGCTTGTTTTCTTTTAAAATAGGACGCGAGCGGGCCGGATTTGTGTAAAAACTGGCGAAATGCTAACGGTAACAGGCAGGAATAGGGACGGAGGAGCGTGCAACCCCTCCCTTTGCCAACTGAGTCACTATTTTCCCCCCTTCTGTCTGCGAAAGACTGACTTAAAACCACCGCTGTTTATGTAATTCCAAAGAAAATCCAGTGTAGCAATAAAAAAAGGAGGGGGGGGGGGAAAGGCGAAAAGCAAGATCCTCCCTTGGCTTTTGTGAGCCGAGCCCTTTCACGCCGGATTGTTTTCTGGTGCCTCCTGCTCTTTTTGGAGCTTGGAAATGTGAAATGTGTAATTGCGGTGGAAGGGAGAGGGAAAATAAGCCCCGCACATCACCTTTGTCAAGGTAAAATAATCCTCTTTGCACGTTCCCAGCGGCGGGCACTCGCTTACTCACTGTCCTCCTTGGAATTAAACCCAAACCCGCCCCGTGACACGAGTTCGAAAACCTGAGTTGAATGAATAAATCCGCCAAGAGCGAGCACCATTCCTTTAGAGAGGAAAAATTATTCCCTTGCAAGTACCGAGGGATGAGTCACTCGCTCGGGTGCTCTTGCCTCCAAAAACACGCCGGGAATGTTCCCGGGGAGCCGGTACCGGGAGCTGGGCGCTGGGTTTTCCGCCTTTTCGCCGTGAACGCGGGTGATGCCATCGAGTTTGGCTGAGGTCTGGCGAATTATTCCTCACTCTAGTGGGCAGTTGTGATTCGCACGTAGGAAACTTCACGCTAAGAAGTTAATCTCCTTAGTTTAGGGCCATCTCCCTCCGAGTTGGGGCTGGTTTTATCGCCTTTCTGCCTCCCAGCTGAGCGTTTTCCAGGGGAGATGATTTGTAGGCTGGCAGTGTGGTGTTGCAGGAGCCTCCGTTAAGAAATGCCGAGTAATACTTTTAAGTACGTGTCCAGCTTCTCGCTGCTCGTCTTTATTCTTGAGAAGGGTTCTGCGTTTTGAAATAGCGATGTCACACTTTGATTTAGGAGTAGGATTTGCTGCTTTTAATTAAGGAGTCAGCAGCTCGCTTTCCTAACGTATTCGGGCTCTGTGTGACTTGGAAGCATCTTCATAAAGCCGTGGCATGGAAATTTTCCTCCGAGTTCTTTATGTTTGCCCCAAATAATAAAGCTTTAAGACCTCGTAATAAATGCCGACTATTGTTTCTTGAGTCGTTTTGTTGAAGCTCATGATTTGGGGTGCGAGCATCCTAACGCGCCCAGCAGAAAAAGCACTGTTAAGGTACTCCTGATGCGAGTTTAGTTCTTCTCCTTGCTCACTACCAGCATGTCAGCCAAGATCCACCTGGGATTAGTTAAAACTAGTAGGAAAAAGTGGATTTAAAAGCCCTTCCCAGCCCCTCCTCGGTATTGGTTAAGTAACAAATGCAAGTGAGTGAATAAACCCCTCATTCTTCGGGGGGGGGGGGGGGTTGCCACGCTCCAGCTGTGACAGGATTTCTCAGGGACAGCTCAATACATTGTGTGTAAAGTTGTAATTTTTAGCCAAATGTGTTTGGAGGAGGCTTTGATGTCTTAATTTTAGCCTTGGCAGCAATGGGATGTGCGACTGTAAATTGCTCTTTCCAAATAAAGTTGTCTGATTGTGTTTAGGTGGCGTTTTGATGACTTGTATCTCTCTCTTTAAAGAAACGACTGCGCTACTGAATAAGCAGTTCTTGTTTGGAGCAGTTCTTGTTTGGATCTTATTAGTCCCTGAAATGCGCATTTTGAGAACCACTTTTAGTATCTGCTGGGAAAGTGAAAGTTGTATCTGTTAATGTGAGGAGGAATCATCCATCAAACAGAGTGTTCAAGATATGACTCATGCTAATTTGTTGCTCTCACATTAAGGCTGGAGCGCGAAAAAATGTTCGCCTCTGGCATTGGAAGTTCACAATGCCACATCCTACCACCCCGGGTCAGGAATTACAGCTCTGTTTTGTTTACTGCCCCCCAAGGAAAGCACAAAGCAGTGGTAGGACGAGGGGGGTTTGCACGAGAGCCTGGCCCAGGCGATCCAAGTATCACAAAAATGTTGACTTGACATGAATGCTGGGTCAGGCAGAGCCGGGTCTGTGCCTGAATAGGAATGACTTGCCAGAGGCGTGCAGCAGGTGCCGGCTCCCTTCTGGAGCAGGGAGTTAAAAAAAAATACTGCCTGATCCTTTGCTAAAAGGCTTTGATGCCGCAGCCCTCGGAAAGGGAGGAATACTGCTTGTTGCAAAGAGGGGTTGTTAGGAAGACAGCGCTGCTAATAGCGCTGGCTATCTGGGAACCAAGATAAGCAGACTTATGTAAGCAGCGGCTCCGTAGCCTGTAGCCTTATGAATATACATTGTTTTATGGCTCCCGTCTGGATCGGTTCCGTAGCAATAAGTGCATCGTTACCTTGAAGTGCTGACGATTCTTTAAGGCTTAAAAATATCCATAAACTGCCTAAGTTTGAACCTTGTCCAAAGGATTTGGGCTCTCTATTATCCGATCTGTTAGCTCTGCCTTTGAAAGAAACTGTATCTCTGGAGCTATCCTTAGGTGCTCTTCAGTGTCTTCTGGTGCAGTTTAACAACATTGTCTAATGCTTATTTCAAGTTGGCTGTAAAACATCTCAGATTTTCTATTTTTTAAATTAAAATTGTATTCAAGTACACGACTTGCTTAATATTGTGCTTTCAATGTGTATCATGCATACTGGTTTTATGCAACGTAGATGTCTCAATGGCTTTTTAAACACGTGGAAAAGAAATGGTTGGAATTCCACGCTTGCCACTGAAGTCAGGTGGAAGTTTAGTGGAGACTGGAGCTTGGGCTGTGCTGGTTGAGCAGTGTGGGCTCCAGGAGAGCTCTGCATTCGGCTGCTCAGCGATCGCAAACCAGCCCCTGAGGCTGTTGTTTGAGGTGGCTGTGGCCAGGCACGGGGTGGTAATTCTCAGCCTACCTGTTGCATCCCGAGCTCCGGCGCGGATGGGATCCAACCGGACAGGCTGGCCTGGCTCCTACCGAGTCCTGCACGTTGTCACACCAAATCCAGGCTTTCTCCTGTGAACCGTTTTCCTGTCAGATAGGCTTGGAGTGTTAGGGAGCACGTATTCACACCCACGTGGGTTAGTGTTTGTGTCCACCGGTGGCTTTTATCCAAAGATCACCGGCATCGTGCTCCTGAAAAGTGAGTTGCTCGAGTGCTGCAGGGCTCATGGGGTGGCAGGAGGAGGTGGGATCCCCCCTGCAGCCGGGGTGGGAGTTGCACTGAGGTGCTGTAGTTGCTGCGGGAGTCGGGAGAGGCAAAACACTGGAGCTTGGATGCAACTAAGGAAAAAGTCCCCAAGTGAGCTTCTAGAGATACTGACTTCTCCAGTGGACGTGATGAAATGGATTCCCATAGGAAGAGTGTTAGCCCGAGCGCGCTTCGTAACGCTGTCCAAAAGTAGACAGGTTGGGGGGCACGAGCCAGCACAGCGTTTTATTCAGCTCTCACAGCCTCGAGTTGTGTTATTTTGTGAAGGAAACCCTAGGGAAGAAGTCCTGGAAGTCCTAGTACTGATCTAATGGGAATGCAGGTTTCCCCAAACTCAGCTTCAGACCTTGCACGCTGCGGTAATAACGAGACTGATTTAAAACTGGTCTGATGAGACCGAGGCACATCTTGAATACAGATGCGCTTAAACTGGCTTAAGGTGCTAGAGTGATTTATTTTAATGCTCCATTAGGCTGAATTGGTTTGTGTGGTTTCTAAACCACTTTAAAATTGTATCTGCCAGGGTTTCGTCCTAGTCTGACTGGAGGAGTTTTAATCACAGTGTTTGCTGCCTTAGAATAAACAGCCTTAGAATACAAGCGGGGTGTAGGACAGCCTGTGGCAGCACAGGCTGCAGCTCAGCTGAGCGGGGGATCCCCTTCTGTCTCTTCCCTTTAGCTTCTCCCACTGATTCTTGTAGTTCAGACTCAGTTGGTACTGCTGTTTTGAAACAGTTTTCAGGGTGTTTTTTCCCAACGCCCCCAACTGTGTTCTCCAGCATCTCTAGATATCTACCAGTGCTTATCGATTAGCTTCTCTTCCTATGACAGAGTAGCTGCTGACGAAGAGAAAAAGGACATGTCACTATTCTTATTAGTTTCCAGCAAAAGAGCACAGTGTTCAGTGTATGAATGCGGTGGGGAACCTGCTAAATATAGCAATGTGGCTTTAGACAGCTCTGGATTCGAGTTGCTTTGGTTCAGTGCTAACACACCAGTATGAGCACGTTGTTTAAATAAGACACCTTATTGCATCCGGGCTCCCTGTGGCTGCAGTTTGATTCTCAGGGTGCACTAAGCTCGGCTTAAAGGTGGGGCATTATTTTGCAACTCCTGTCGGTACGTTCATAAGCTCCAAAGATAGTCCCAAGGTGGCATCTGATAAGATCGCTAGCAAAACAAGTTATCTGTTATGTAAAGATCAAATGCTGTGTTAGTAAAAGATCTGACAAGCGCCTCGTTGTTTTCCATAAGAAGTGTTGCCCTCCGGAAACTTATTAATTATTTGCTTGTGATGATGTGTGCCATCCCTCCGCTTGCCACAGAATCTGCACAGCCAATGCATGTGAGAGCATGAGCGGGTTTATTCTTGCCCAAAACCAGAGTTCTGTTACCTTTTCCAGTTGTTACTTCGATGGCTTTTGGTCTAGAATGTGCTTTCCTGTAGTTTGTGAATGTTCTCACCGTGTCAGAGTGAGCACCCATCAATAGAATTTAAGTGTGAATGTTTGGTTTTAGGCACACGAAGCCTCACATCACCAACAGCAGGCAGCACAGAACAGTTTGTTGCCTCTCCTGAGCTCTGCTGTTGAGCCACCCGATCAGAAGCCGATTCTGCCCTTACCAATAACGCAGAAACCTCAGCCTGCACCAGAAACATTAAAGGATGCTATTGTTGGGATTAAAAAGGAAAAACCTAAAACCTCCTTTGTGTGCACTTACTGCAGCAAAGCATTCAGGGACAGCTACCATTTGAGGCGTCACGAGTCCTGCCACACAGGGATAAAGTTAGTGTCACGGCCAAAGAAAACTCCCACCACAATGGTGCCCCTTATCTCGACCATCGCTGGTGACAACAGCCGAAGTTCACTGGTTTCGACTATCGCGGGCATCCTGTCCACAGTCACTACGTCTTCCTCTGCCACCAACCCCAGCAGTAGTGCCGGCGCAACGGCCATGGCAGTGACTCAGACAGCAAAGAAGCCCAGCAAGCCCGTTAAGAAGAACCACGCTTGTGAGATGTGTGGCAAGGCCTTCAGGGATGTCTACCACCTCAACCGGCACAAGCTGTCCCACTCAGATGAAAAACCCTTTGAATGTCCCATTTGCAATCAGCGCTTCAAGAGGAAGGATCGCATGACCTACCACGTGAGGTCCCACGAAGGTGGCATCACGAAACCCTACACCTGTGGTGTTTGTGGAAAAGGCTTCTCGAGGTACCATGTAGAAAATCCCAGGCGAGCTCAAGTATTGGCTTTTCATAACCAAGAAGGGTTAAGCTATCATAGCGAGGGGCTAGGAGAACCAGACATCTTAGAAGATTGGTGAGGGGATAAAGAGCCTTGTTTACCTCTAGGGTGTGGGTCTTGATCTGAGCCAAAAGTGCTCGTTCTTTTATGGGAGTGCTTTAAAATGATTTTGTGACCTCATTTGGGTCCCGAAGGACACGTGTCCGTGTCACTGGTGGGGGTCACGGAGCCCCCTGACCAGCCTTTGCCAAGCTCAGTGGCTGGATGGGGCACAGCAGGCAAACCGCCTCCTTGTCTGGTAGCAAGGTTGAGGCGTGCTGCCAGAGCCTTGTGGGGGAGCTTGCATTGCTGCTGGCTGTACTTATACCTGTGCTTGCGACAGAGAAAAAACTTCAACCTTTAGAGCTGTTGATCTGTCACCTTCACGCAGGGTACGACCAAACGTACCATTTTCAGGTGTGTTAAGAAGAACACGGTTAAGTTTTAAACAGCAGGTTGGGTCTCAGTGTAACCCTGTGTTACTCTAGCTGAAAGCCACTGCGTAGGTAAAGGGGATGTATTATTCCTGCTGTGCAGAGGGGGTGGGCTGCGAGGGGTCACCAGCAGTGTTCAGCACCGCTAGCCGCCGTGTCCTTACTATGTATTTGTAACAGTATGCATTCTCTCTTCTGTTCCTCTCTTTTTTGCAGGCCTGATCATTTAAGCTGTCACGTTAAACATGTTCACTCAACAGAGAGACCCTTCAAATGCCAAGTAAGGGCTAAAGTGATTTGTTAAGACCAATGCCTTATTGTAACGTTAGCATCTCAGGTGAATAATCTTTCCAGAACTGTATTTGCTCCTGGACTGCTCTTTGGCAAGGAAGTTTAGGAATAAAGTTGTATCTGCCTTACCTACCAGCAGCACCGTCGTTCTGATGGAAGTCTAGAGGTAGTTTAAAAGGATGCTGTGGCTACTTTTTAAGGAAGATGAGGGGGATTTTTGCTTTCTTGGAGAACGACATAGGTGCTCTGTTTTAAGATATGTTTGGCTTAGCGGTAGCATTGTAACAGCATCCTCAGCTCAGTGCTGATTACCAGAGTAATGTGTGCAGTGTGTTCTCAGCATGTATCAATTGCATGTGTTCCTCACTATATCCATTTAAAATGGGTTGGAATAGTTGGTTCTGGGTCCGTTACTTTGCTGGAAGGTGAAAGCAAGTTGGTGTAAGTTGATGACTGAGTATAAGAGAAAAAAGCTTGACTGCCCTGGAACAATTAACTGTTTTGCTTGGAATAGCCATGCTTGTTCCAACCTGTGTTTTAGTGACTCATCACATTAAATAAAAGCTTTGTGCAGAAGGAATAGCGTTAGTAAAAGGTTTCATTTCCTTGTTCTGATTTGAAGGGGAACAGAGGTAATTGAGCAATTGAGGGTATCAGGTTCATATTTGTACAGTTCAATTGTATCAAAGCCCAACTTTGCCTGTTCTAGGCTTTTTCTGTAAGCTACCTCTTGTTTTGGTAGGTAAAGCAACCACTAGTTAAAGGAAGCTCAAGTAGTATAGAGTGTGATTTTTGCACCTACACGGTAAAACAGGCTTCTGGTGGGCTTGTAATTCATACTGTAATGATGCTGTCTGCCCTTCAAGTGTAACTGTTGTCCTCTATATAGACGTGCACTGCTGCCTTTGCCACCAAAGACAGACTGCGGACACACATGGTGCGCCATGAAGGAAAGGTATCGTGTAATATCTGTGGTAAACTTCTGAGTGCAGCATATATCACCAGCCACTTAAAGACACACGGGCAGAGCCAAAGTATCAACTGTAATACCTGTAAACAAGGCATCAATAAAAGTAGGTGAACGTTTTAAAAACATTTCTAATAACAGTGTGTTTGCAAAGGGAGTTGCCTTTGATTACGTTAAAATGCCAAAACGTACCCCTCAGTCATAGGGTACGTTTTAATAGGTGTGAATACCATACTCACACCTATTAAAAACAGATGTCTGATAACAGAATCTTCTTCTGCTCAAGAATTGGCTTGTGTGGAATTGGTTTGCTGCTAGAATGTGCTCTTACCCCTGCAATTTGTGAGGGTAACCCCTCCCTCTCTCTGAAGAAAAGAGTTCCCAAGTTTTCTCAGTTTCTAAGCACTTGCTGAGCTGTACAGGCCTAAAAGTCCAGCAGATAATTCTGGAGAGTTCAGAATATTTAAGAACTACTAAGGTCTGCCAAGTTTCAGGTGTGAAACCTCACCTAAAGCTCATCAAAATCAGGAGAAGGATGTCTGTGCTTTCTCCAAGCTTTGACCCTTTGGGTTTGATGATTCCTCCCTCTGGCATTAACTGACAGGAAAAGCATTTAAATCCAGCCCTGAAATGTTTTGAGCATTAATGGCATTTGACTGGTGGTGTGCAGGAGTTCAGGTGAGATGCTTGTAATAGTTCCTCCTAGTCTTAAACTCCGTGGAAAGTGCTGAAGCCTCACCCTGGGAGTGCCTAGTCAGCAAAGGGAAGACTTGATTTTCACATCTTCCCTATTAAAATTCCTGTAACTTCAGTTGACCCGCGTGGTTAGTGATACAGAATGGGTTTTCAGGGGAATCTAAAGGGAGAAGTAAGGAACATCTTTGGAAACTTTGTCCTTAAAGCCTTTTAAACAGTATTAATTTACAACATCTTTTCAGTTCCTGTTACTCCTGGCTAAGTTGAAGGTCCTGGGAATGTCTGAAATGCCTGATGGTTGAGCTTAACACAAAATTTGGGTGTGAAGTATTTTTCAAGGTATAGGGTTACAGCTCTGGCTTCCCAAGCCAGTTTGGTGGTGCTCGGCCAGTTCACGCGAGGCATTTACAGCAGTTGTTAGAGGTGGAAATGATGAGCTGTTGTGTGGCCAGAGTTAGTAGCACACTGTTCTGTGATGTGAAGGTAAACTGAAAATTTGAAGTCATACTTGGAATAAAAAGTAAAAAGGCTTTTTTTTCTTCAAAAAGCTGAGATTTAGAACCAGTGCAGTTGGCTAAGCAGCTTGAATTCTAGAGACTAGAGACTTCTATTTCATTCTTCCTAAAATACAAACAGCATGATCGGAAAGGAAGTAAAAGCAGATGTTCCTGACTTTGTGTTTTAGCTCTTGGAAAAGTAGTTTTATAAAGCACAGAATTAATTATGTGGTTTTAAGCACCTTTGATTTTTGCTCTTGGAATCCTGTGAGATTCCACACACTCTTTATGGAAGAAGCCTTTGTGATGTCAGCAGAAAACAGAGTAACTTTTCAAGGTGAATTTGTGTTCTTACTTAATTGGCATAGCATGCATGAGTGAAGAGACCAGCAATCAGAAGCAGCAACAGCAGCAGCAACAACAGCAACAACAACAACAGCAGCAGCAGCAGCAGCAACAACAACAACAGCAACAACAACAGCAGCAGCAGCAACAGCAGCAGCAGCAGCAGCATGTAACAAGTTGGCCTGGAAAGCAGGTAGAGACCCTGAGATTATGGGAAGAGGCCGTCAAAGCAAGGAAGAAAGGTAAAACAAACCAATACTTACAGTCTTGGCTTTGTAAGATATTGGAGTTGATAGTTCTATAGGGAGTTTAAGATGTCAGAAAAGGATGTCTTCCGTGAACGTTTCCTTCTTAGTAATAGCTAGAAACTAGCAGGAGGATAACATGGCCAGAATTACCCTGTTGTAAATGAACTCCTTATTACCCGCTTCCCTTTGGTCTGTGTGCATAGCAGTCATCATTATAAAGGGATGCTTGTGTCCGCTCCAAGGCAAGAGTGTGTTTTTTTCACTTGCATGTGGTTTTCAGCTGTGTTTATGCATATTTACCAGTTGTTAACTTGTGTGCATATATATTTATATGTATATACGCACATAACACCCTTGGTCATTGCATCATCAGTTTGCATGTGAGTGCTTTCTGTGTCCCTTTCATCTTTTCTCCCCCAGTTTATTCCATTGGCTTTAGCATCATGTAACTGGCTTTGCAGAAAGTTTTCCAGAACACATTGTTTGTTTGTTTGGGGTTTTTTTTCATTTAATTACAGAACTAACTAATAAGTGATCCTGCTTGTCATTATCGCTAGCTCACAGCTTACATATACGTGTGCTGCTGCCATTGGAGTTGAATGGCTTCCTGTTGTTGGTCAGTGTGTCAGTTTTGCAAAGAATAGGTTGCTTCAGTTCAGTGGAGTTAGGAGTTTAGTAGTTCAAAGTCTTCAGTTACTGCTCTCTTATTCTTTCACAACAGTTTGATTTCTAATGCCTATCGTGCGACTCTCCCTTTAGAAGGAATTCCTAGTGACCACTTGCTGCTTTCACTAGCTGTTCTAGTAATAAATGTTATTGACTCACCTTATTTTTTTCTTTTCTCCTAAACTTACTTTCAGTATCTTCAGTCTTTTTTCTTTTCTAGGTCTTGTTTGTGTATTAGGCTGCTTAGCTCCTTTCGCCTTGGTTGTTACTCCGGTTGAGTTCTGTGATCAGACAGTGTAGGAACAGCTTAATCGTGTTCAAATGTAGTGATAACAGAAACATTAAATACCATCAGGCCACTAGATAAAGCAGAAGGGTGTCAGATTTAGAAACTCTGTGAGAATTTTGGTTTTCTGCTTGTTCCTTCCTGTGTCTTGTTCCCTCTTCCTTTCCTGTTCAGATGATTGAATATGTTCTAACATGAAGAGTGGGTTTGGGCAGACTGGTGGGTGAGGGAGGAGGGTGGGTAGAGGTGTTGTCAGTTGATGATAGTAGCTTAACTGAACTGGGAAGGGGCATGGGTGGGATGTGTCTTTGCGTATTGCTGTGCTTGGAAGGTGAAGCTAGACCAGACAGTGCCATGCCTACGTGCTGCTCTTTCCATGCTGGTTCTCCTGTGCTTGTGCCACCTGTTGCATTGGCTTTACGACACATGATGGGATTTTTTTTTTAGTCTAATACAATTTATTTTCACAATTTTTATTTTTTATTT